TGATTCTTCTTAAAGAGGCAAACTGACACAGGAAGTGCTTGTGATACCAAGTTTTAGGCATTGTTCAAATAAGTACAAGCTAGAAAGGGAAGGAATAAATAAATAGAAAGACAAAGTTTATTTATTTATTTATTTTTTAAATTTAGGATGAAGTCAAGTAGCATCGAAAGAGATGAGTTTTCAGCTGTCGCTTGAAAATTGTCAGGGATTCAGCATTCCGGATAGGGGTGGGAAGATCATTCCACCAGCCAGGAACGGTGAACGAGAATGTTCTGGAAAGTGATTTTGAGCCGCTCTGTTATGGTACCACGAGGCGTCGCTCACTCAGACTCCTGGAGAGGATATAGATTCGTAGTAGTGTGTGGAAGTAGGCGGGTGTTGAGCGTGTGGCTGTTCTATATGCAAGCATCAATGTCTTGAACTTGACGCGAGCCGCAACCGGTAGCCAGTGCAAGGAGATAAAGAGAGGTGTAACATGGGCTCTTTTGGGCTCGTTGAAGACCAGTCGTGCCGCTGCAGATCACACATTTAATGTTTTAATTTAATTAACACATTTAATTAACACATTTAATTAGCCCAAATACACCAAATAATGTTCTTTTTTAGCAACGTCATATGACCCCTTTAATTTAATGTGTGTTAGCAGTTTACACACTGCTAACACACATTTAATGAGCTTCTGCCATGTTAAAGTGAATTTTACATCCGATGTTCCCTTTAAAGGTCAACTGAGCCTGAGCAGCCCCACCCCCTTTTTAAATAGCCAATAGTGTTTCGTTTATATCACAGCTTGGGCCAGAGCCTTTGAGCTTGGTAAAGCCGCATTTGACAGCTTATGACAGCCACAATCTAATAGATTAGCCTTTTATATTCAATATTAAACTGTTAGTAAAGCAAAACAGCGATTATAATGATGCTGACGATGTGTAGTTTGAAAACTGTGTAATTTATTTTGGTGTAGGGCACCGGTGTTATCTCTTCTACTCGTTAGTGCCGTTTGTCTAACCGTTTCTCCTCCTAATTTGATCCAAATCGCTATAAAATATAGCATTCTTTGTAGAATTCAAATGGGTCCGATACATTTTGTGGTCTGTGCGACTCGCGCATATGATCCGCTCTGTGATATTGTGCTATCCGGACCGGAGCAGACTGTGTGCGTGACACAACGCGAAACCAGACTTCTTTCGACCCAATGGAAAGCATATTTACTAGAGGTCGACCAATGTATCGGTTTTGCCGATTAATCGGCACCGATAGTCGATTGCTGGAACTATCGGTTATCAGCAAAAATCCATGCCGATAGTTTTCCGGGTTGCGGCCGTTGCTGGAACGGCTGAGAAGGGTCTGCTGTTATTATTCAGTGCGAGAGCGGCCTCTAGTGGTTGAAATCACTGACAGCATGTGCTATTTGTTTAGACATGTGATACTGCACGCTGAACAGAGAGGGAAACTTCAGACGCGGATTTAAATGCAGCCAACAGAAAATCCTGCCACGCCACAGAGCGCCATTCACATAGTTTTCCATTGAATTACATTATATTTATTATTATTTATTTATTATTATTATTTATATTTATTTACATAATTAATTGTGTATTGTGCATTTTCAGCGAAACATTTGTCTTTCTGTGGCTCTAATAAAGTCTATGTAAACTTGTGTCCATTTGGTGATTAAATAAACTGTTTTAGACCGCAGCTCGAGTTGAACGCGATGCGTCCGGAGTATGTGTGATACCGATGAGTTCTCCTAGGCTTTTATTTTGATTAGATAATCATCAAGTGTTCAAGAATAGAAGCAGTTAAAGTGTGACAGTATACATACAACATCCATATGTATATAATTTTAATGCTATGGCCTTTGTGTATATATTTAAAGATGTGCATGACACTTGAAATGGTAACACTTTAAAATAAGAGCCATTTGTAACATTAAGATTAATGAAAGCTGTGTAAGTATTGTTCCTTGTTAGAGTGTGTTCATTTCAACATTTACTATTACTATTATTATTATTACTACTACCACTACTAGTAGTAGTCGTAGTATGGTTCAGTACTGTTTTTTTTAATAAAGCACTATTTTAGTTTTTGTTCAGTATCCATTTTAAAAACTATTGGTTAATTAATCGGTATCGGCCAGTGTGGTCCATCCTAGCTATCGGTATCTGCAAAATCCACTATCGGTCGACCTCTAATATTTACACTGTCTGAATCGTTCCTTATTCCCCATATAGAAAATACTAATTCTGTGAACAAGTGACCTATTTCAGCCGCAGTTTCAGCGTCTATTTATAGTGTAGGAGGCGGGACATTTCAGATTCTAGAGAGCATTTGATTGGACAGAAAGTTTGATGAGAAGAAGTGCAGGGTGACGTCATCAAAACCTCTGATTCATATTGGCGGAAGTGAGAGACTGCTTATATCTTCTAAATATGAATTTTGCCATAGTTTTGGAGCACACTAGCTTATAGATAACTATACGGCTAACATATAGTCTAGCTTACCTTTACAAAGCTCATGCGGATGGTGCACATCTTGGTGAGTTCATAGACGGCTTCAAAACCGTGATTGACGGACTGTGTCAAGAGCTCAGCAAACTCCTGGTTGTTGAAGATCTTTAGGCCGCAGAGACTGGGAATCTTGCATACAGTGGTGGGGTGGAAACCATGGTGATAGTTGCAGTTGCGACTCTGTACAAAGATACTGCTGTCGCTCAAACATTCAGCGTATACCTCCCCTCCCACATAGTACAAATGGACTCCTGCAAAATATATGAAAAGGTGATTGTGAGTTTATATTATATCAATATTTAGCTTATTAACAGCATTTCTGAGACAGGCCATTTCATCAGTATCATGTTACTATCATATCAACTCAATGTCATATTTTAGTGCTTTATAATAGTGCAATTCAACACACAATAGGTAGATACTATAGAATAGTTGTTTTATGTAGAGATCATTTCAGTGACAAGTCAAACCTTTTCCGATGTGGCGTCGAGTGTTCTCAATGGTCGAGTTGCGGTTGACATTCGACAGCAGACCAAGGCAGAAACGGTTACGGTTGTTGGAGGGGTCGGTAAAGCCGTCCACCAGTACACTGGTTGAGGAGGCCTGGAAAGCCTCTCCCACACGATTATTCAGCTCATAGTACACAATGGAGCACCAGTGTTTGGGTTCCGCATATGCCACAGGCTGAACATCTGCACAGATGGTTATGAACTCATTGAACACAAGCACACATACACTTACTCCATTAAAATAAAGTAGTATGGTGTGAAAATTAGAATACAAGTAACTCTTAAGATCACCAAGGCTGCATTTATTTGATCAAAAATCAAGTGAAAACAGTAATACTGTGAAATATTACAATTTCAAAAAAGTGTTTTCTATTTTAATATATTTTAAAATGCAATTTATTCCTGTGATGCAAAGCTGAATTTTCAGCATCATTACTCCAGTCTTCAGTGTCACATGGTCCTTCAGAAATCATTCTAATATGCTGATTTACTGCTCAAAAAAACATTTCTTAGTATTATCAACAGTCTTGGGGGTAACGCATTACAAGTAACGCGAGTTACGTAATCAGATTACTTTTTTAAAGTAACGCATTACTTTTTAATTTACACGAAAATATCTGAGGCACTTTTTCAAAAAAAGTAACGCCAGTTACTTTGTTTTCCCATTTATTGACCGACAAGTCTCCTGTCCCCATATTGGGAGAAATCGGAAGTACAGAGGCGTTGTGTGCGCTGTGTGAACATGATGTAGTTCTAGACTAAATGTGAATGTGCATTAATTCATCCCACTCGCAAAAAAAACAGATTTAGTATTCATCAAAATTAATTAAAACAGTGAAATGCAAACTCAGAATATGACGCAAACCTGCAATAATTAAATATGTTAAATAACACAAATGTATCTAATCCCATTTTATTAACCAATATCTTTGCTGCTGACCTTTGATGATCCAGTTCAACCATACTAATAAGCAAAAATGACTTTAGATAAACTAACAACTGTGCTTCATCGTTTTTTTATTGCTGAAGAGTGTTTATTCTCCTGCATTCTACTGTACAGACGTGAATTTACTTTTGCTTCAGCCTGAGGTTTATTCATTACACATTTTGGTGTGAAAGGGCTTTTATATTTGCTATAAATAGAACTTCTTATATTAAAAACAATCAAGTCAAGTCAAGTCAAGTTTATTTGTACAGCGCTTTTCACGATACAAAT